CGTCGTGTCGTTTATTGGGATGACGGTCGTCTGAAGAGGAAGTAGCTCAGCCCAGACGTGGCAAAGGGAAGGCCCAGCCTGTGGGCGTTTGCACAGCTGGCCTAGCCTGCCCGGTGACTTCGCGGCCTCTCACACACGGCCGTGGCCAGGGCACGTGAGCCCCTTGCACTTAAGACCTGCCACAGTCTGTGCCTGGACGAGATGAGCAAGAAGGTATGCTCTTGAACAGGGGACGGCGGACCGGACTGGGCGGAGCCTGTGGCGTTAGTGCCTCCTGCACCGGCTCTTATTTTTAATCAAATCAATCTGAGGAGCGTGAGCTTCGAAAAAGCATCTGCACCCAGGGTCCCCGACCGGCCAGCTCTGGCCCATGTGTAAAAACAGAGAGGCCGCCGCCCTCCAGCTGGTTCTGTGCAGCCCACGTGGTGGTCCACGGCACCCGGAGCAGCCACCGGGGCTCCGGCTTCAGGCTCTGGAGGCTGATGGCGGCCGGGACCCGCCAGTGGTCCACGAGGCCAGTGGACGTGGAGAAGTGTGTGCCGTCTCTCCCTGAGCGTGTAAGACTCCGGCGTGGTCGAGTGCCACAGCGCACGAAGCTGTGTGAGCATCTGCCAGGGGACACTGGTGGCAGCTGGCTCCGACGGAGGCGGGCGAGCAGCACGCAGGACGAAGGCCTCCAGGAGCTCGTCAGCCATGCGGCTGCACCGATGCAGCAGGCCGTGCAGACACGGCTCCTGAAAGCCAGAGAACAAACGAGGGTTTTTGAAGAAATTCTCCCATGTGAGGGCGAACTTCACGATCACGCAGTTTCAAGCCCGAGCGTGAAACTTAGAGTGATGCCTTCTAGTCCTTTCCTGCCGTTGCAGTTTTTCTGGAGAATGGGTGGAGCGCTGCTGGAGTGAACCGCACGAGACTTCACCGTGAGGCTGACGAGGCCCACGTGTCCCAGCAACACATGTCACAAGGGAGAGAAATGGCTGATTTAATGAGCGTTGCACCTTCTCTCTTCAGAGAGCCCAAAGAACTATCACATCATTTACGGATAAAGGGGGCAGTTGGTGAGACACTGATATTTCCAGAAAGAAAATTGATTGTAACCCTGTGACTCACAAGAAAATAGACCCGTGGTAGAATGTGACGTGCCACATACTCACGTGGGATCTG